GATGCCTTGGACATTTATGGACAAGATTTTATGAACATGTGTTTTACATTAATTGTTTTCCAAAGAACTGTTTTGTATTCCTATCAGTGATATATGAGCCTTCCAATTTCTCTACAGCCTTGACAACACTTGTTATTATCTGCCTTTTTTGTCATAGCTATCCTGATTAACATGAAGCTATCCTGGTAAGGCATCTCATTGTGGTTTTGATCAGCATATCCCTAATGACTAATGACACTGAGCAGATTTTTCAGGTGCTTTTGGTCACTTGCATCTTTTCATCGGAGAAATGTCCATTTAAGCTGGAGCATGTTTTTAAAGACAACATTGTGGCTTTTCCCAATACTTTTTGGCAAAACAAGAACAACAAAAAATGCTTTCAGGTTAAAAATTCAGACATCAATCACCCAGTTGAGTTACTGTACTTTTTCTTCAATTGTGGAAATATGTTCACAAATAAAAGTAAGCTTCTATGACCTTTTTAAGAGTATTTTAATTGATTTTTTTCAATATGATAGATGGAGAGGGAAGGATTCCCTTAATTTCTGATTGCACTGAGGAACAGTTCTAACCTACTCAATATTCCTTGGACCATCCATACACCCTAAAAAAGAAAAACTAAGACTGTGACAACTCTATCATGTGTGTGCACGTATATGACTCACGAAGATATACTACTCGAAACTCAGTATGAAACACTCTCCATCCCACTCCCACTTTCTAGGTAACCAGAACAAATGGATAAAGCCACTACACTTGCAGAAAAATCTAAATCCCAACTTCCCCCTGCCTGACACACTCCTTCCTCTTGCCTGTGCTGTGGGGTCATGAGGAGGACTGGAATGAGCTGACAGAAAAAAAAGACAGATGCCTTTATTAGACAATATTAAAGCATAATATTTTATATTTTAAAGTGAGTGGTTGAGAGCTTCTGAGAAACACAAGCCCTCCTAACCAGTTATGAATATTTTCCCTTTTTTAATTTGGCATTTAACAGTGCAAATATGTCAATTTAAATAAAAAGTCATTCTGATAATGGACTAGGTGCTGTTCCTTGAACCCTACTTTAAAAAAAAGAAAAAATTGTTGAAGTATTGTAACTGAAAAGTAAACAGTCGTGAGCCAGTAATGCAAGTTCTTCAGCAACACACACGGGAGGAGACAGGGATGCGCACATCTGGAAATGGGGGGAGAAGTCTCGAGCTCTCTCTTCAGCAACTCTAAGCAGTTTGAGTAATCTTGGGAGGAGAGTGATGGGAATCACTAAGTCTCAACTTCCAAAGATTCCATGGGCTATCTAAAGTGTTCAAGAAACACTTAATGTAAGATAATTGATTATCTTATCTTGTAGTTTTAATTCTTAACTACAATAAGTGGACAAATGGACACTCTACTTGTCTCCTACCCAGCAAGAGAAACGCACAAGGAGCTTCCTCTCCATCACTGTGGCTCTGCGGCAAAGGCTGTCAAGACGATGAAGAAACCTTGAAATTCACTTCAGCCCACAGGGAAGAAGGGAAGAGACTGCCTAGGGAAAGCTGCCCAGCTTGTGAGAGAAACTTGCATCACTCATCTCTTGATCTGAGAATTGGAATGAACAACAGATGTTCCACCATCTCTTTCAGGTCATGAAGAAATGTGTGATGGGAGAAAAGCATTTTCCCTAGAGGAAGCCTGCTGGACAACAGAGCAGAGTTAAGGTGCCCTGGAATTTAAATCCTTGACTTCTCCGGCAGCTGCCTCCCCTGCCTGGGTAATTTTAGGTTCATCATTTGAAACTAAAATGTTAGATTCCCCATTTAGGTTCATCCTTAAATGAGATTAATTCCAAGAACATTGATGTTACATTGCTTACTAGATTGTCCCCATTTGTAAATCTTAAACTAATGGCCAAGCAGTTCTTCCAGAAAGTAAACAAAATTAAAGCAAATAAATAACTTGAAGTAAGATACTTTCCCTTAAAACCCATGCAGTGGCAGACTGAAGAAGGAATCCAGAAAGTGATAAATACAACGAGGATATATGTGTCTCATATTGTTCATCTGGACCTATAGCCCAGAGCAAAAGGAACTTCTTTTACTCTGGGGCCAGCCAGCCAGCCAAACTAGATATTTTATAATTACAAATGTAGATTCAACATGCTTCCTAAATGCTCTCTAATATAACACCAGCAATGGCACTTAATGTCTATGAACTCATCAGTGGCAGGCACTTTGCTAGACATTTTATATGTAATCTCATTTAACCAAGATAATACCTCTATGATGTAGGGACTATTATTATTACCAAATTATTCTTCCTGAGAAAAATCAGACTAACAGAAATTATTTTGTCCAAATTATTTGCTCAGGGTAAGCAAACCTCTGCTTAGAATCTCTCGATAACCAGCCATGTGATAAGCACTAGCCTTACATAAAGCTGCTGAGCACCTGAAACATGGCTAAGCAACAGGAACTATATTTTTAAATTTTTTAAAATTAATTTAATAGCCATGAATAGCTAGTTCCTACAGTATTGGATAGTACAACTCTACAGCATGAAGATTAAATGTGCATATGAGTTTATCATCAGACCACTAAGTCTTATCACAAATAATCTTATTAAAGGAGATTGACAATGACTAAGTATGAAGATAACCAGTTTAGCATTAAGAGCTTGTAGAATAGGTACTATCTGGGTTTGAGAGACAGCTCTGCAAGAAATGAGCCCTGTAATTTGAGCCACTATTTAGCCTCTAAGTCTTAGCTCCCCACTTATAAAAAGGGGTAAATACACTAGGATCCTTGGGGTATTGTGAGAATTAAATGAGATAAACTATTGGAACTCTTAGTACAATTCCTAAAAGGTACTAAGGACTAAATAAATGTATTCTCCCTACCCCTGGTACTGGGGACTGAACGCAGGGGTACTCCATCACTGAGCTACGTCCTCAGTCCTTTTTATTTTTTATTTTGAGACAGAGTCATGTTCAATTCCTCAGGCTGGCCTCAAACTTGATATCCTCCTATCTTAGCCTCCTGAGTCCCAAGGATTACAGGTATGTGCTATCATGCCTGGCTATAAATTTATTAATAATAATAACTAAATTATTACTGTTTTGACCTTTTTAAAAAGAAGTAGTAAGAGTTTCAATTCTCAGAAAAAGTTATAATTTAAGTTCTTAGTAACTCCCACCTTGTAAATGTATCTTTTGAATTTTTCAATGTTTCATTTTGAAATTAATTCAAATTAATAGCCAGGTTTCAAGTATAGAAAAAAGGAATCTAGCATACTCTTTGACTAGATTCACCAGTTTTTAACACCTTGCCATGTTCTCTCTCTGTATTTTTGTTTTTGCTTTTCCCTGAACTATTTGAGCCTTCACTCCTTAGCACTTAAAATGTATCAGGTATATTTCTTAAGGACGTTCTCTTATGTAACAATAGTATCATTATTAAATGCAAGAAATATAACATTAAAATAATACTTAATCTATAGGTCCAATCCTAATTTCATCTACTGTCCTTAGAATATCCTTCAGGATCATATTGTCTCTTTAGTCTTACTTAACCTGAAATGGCTCCTCAGCCTTTCTTTCAATTTCATGATAAACATAAAGAGGACAAGCCTGTTATTGTATAGGAAGCCACTCAGTTTGGTTTTGTCCAGTGTCACCTCATGATTAGATTCAGCTTCTACACACTTTTGGCCAGAATCCTACCTAAGTGATACTGGGTTCTTGCTCATTTTCAGGCACACAATGTTCACCTGCCCCATGTTGGTGACATTAATTCTGATCACTTTATTGAAATATTTCTGGGTATCTCTACTGTTGTTCTTTTCTTCCATTTTTAATAAGTAATTTGTTTAAAAGATATTTGGAGAATATACAAACATACTGTTCCTCAGACTCCCTCCACCTCCACTGGATTTGACATCTGTTGATGATTTGTGCCTGAATAACTTTTACTATGATGATTGCAAAATGATGATTTCCTAACTTCATCATTTCTTCCATATTTCTTAATTGGCAGTCTACTATAAAGAGGAATTTCCTCTTCTCTCCTTTTTTTCCTAATTTATTTACCTACTTAATAACTACATTGACTATGGATTCTTAGTTTATTCTGTGGGAGTCTCTGAGTTTTTAAAAATATTCTTCAAATGCAGGTGACAAGAAATTACAGATTTGAATTAACGTCATTAATTGGGCAAAGGAAAGGTCATTAATTAGGTCAGAGGAAAACTCTTAAATGAGGACTCCACTCACCTTAGATGGCTACAATCAGGAGAGGTGTAAATGCTTAAGGCCATACATTAGGACTACAGCAAGGAGCTCTCACAGTGGACAGCGTGAGTTATCACTCACACTGCAGTGTCGCTCATCATCAGACATGATATCATACCCCAAAAATTCCATCCAAACAACCCATCTATTTCTCCACAACTAGCAAACTTGAATGTTCTGGCAAACTCCAAAGGACATGATTTACAAATAGTAGGTAATATTTGGATCTTTCCACAGAACTAGGTTCCAGCTTTTTCTTTTTTTTTTTAACCAAATACAAATGATTTCATTTTGGAGCTCACTGTGTCATTTCTCAACAAACAGTTTTTCATATCAGAAATTAGGCCTCTGTTATATACAAATAGAATGGGTTTGTGCATATTTATTTTGGTCAGAGACCACACACCCGGTGGCAGTTTGCAGTATTTACAGTACTCCCGATGCCACAAGGGGATCTCTGAGATGAGACCAAAGCTCAGGCCGCACAGCCTATGATTCCAGGTCCTCCTCTGCCATGGAAACAAGACCACAGAGGACATGTAGGTGGTGCTTGCTTCTTGCAAATGCTTATCTATGCGATTCAACTACCTCCAAGTGTACAACTCCACTTTCAACACTCTCGGAACAACGGTATTATTTCGATGAAAAGAAGCCCTTTTTAAAAGATTTGCAAAGTTTGGGGTCATTATAACCTCATAATACGGACCACTTTGGGAGGGTTTGAAACACTTACCAAGAAAAGTCTGGAAATCCCAGTGGCAAGTCTCTCTGTCTTCAAATGCCACACCAGGGGTTGTGGGGAGTTGAGCAGAAACACAATAGGCTTGTGGTGAATGTGCACTGAGGAGATAGGATTCAGGTGCAGAGTGACCTAGGCAGCAAGAGGGGAGAGATGTTAGCACCAGCTTTCCAGGCAGATCACTCAGAGCAGCATCTGGATATCTTTCCACTACTCACCATTAAGAGAAGAAGCTATAAGCTAGTTCTGAATCTGTGAATAAGATGTTTCATGTTGAGCTAGATGATACTGCCAATATTGGGCCTTTTTGCTTCTCTACCCCCCCCCCCCCCCAATTTTTTTAACCACAAAGTGGCTATTTCATATGCCTAATCTCAGCCAAACATGACTCAGTTCCCAAGAATAAAACACAAATAAACAAAACACTTTTTGTTTTATTTTCAAAATTGACAATGGCAGAATAAAAGGTACCTTCCTTCAGGACTGGCTTATCCTTCAGGTCAAGTGGCTGAGAATTAAAGAACAGGATCCCCCTCAGGATGGGTTATCCCTCTGGACCTTCAGAGAAAGGACTTTCTCCTGTCTCAGGTAAGCTCCAAGCTCTATAAAGTTAAGTGAGTTCTGACAGAGAAAGTGCCAAGAGAGAAAGAAAGGGGCTGCCAAGGGAGCTGCCAGGGTTCTCACTCTCTCAGCTACTAGTGGGAAGGGGTTTTCCAAAGAAATGAGGCAGAAAACACACCAAATAAACACTGATTGTACAGAGTTCCCTGGGGGGCTGGGGGTGGGGAGGAGAAAACTATGAGCCTGGACAGGAAAACAACTGTGGTCAGTTTTGAGGAAGGATCAAGTACTATTGTAAGTTACCATTAGCATCATTAGCATCATCAAAAGGCACCTGTAAGCAAAGCCAGAAAAAGTGGACTCAGTGTCTTCTGAGAGCACTTGAGCCAAGGGCAGTCAACATGAACTCAGAAAAGCAAAATCATGCTTTTAATAACCTGTCCACAGGGGCTTTCTGTTCAGAGGGGTGAGGTGAAACAAAGAATCACATACTTAAACTGATGGAGAACTCACCAGAGAGTAACAAGGAAGAGAAAGGACAAAAAGGGCTTAGGCTGGGAAGGTACAGAACATCTGCAGAGGGCACATCAACCCTTTTTCTGATGATTTTCTTTGTCGTTTTCAGCATACAATCCTTAAAGTTCACAGATATGCATAAGTTTGGGGCAAAATGCACACTACAAAATAAATAAGTATATATCTCAAATGAACAAGAATTTTTTTTGTTTTTTTTAGAAAAGCTTATGAAATGAGATGTATGAAACAGATATTCATACTCAGGTCCAAAATTTTCCAGATGGTCCAAAGTGTCAAGGCCTGGCTCAGACAATCGGGGAAAGATTTCTAGGAGTCTCAGCTCTATGAGCTTTCCTGGAAATGGCTCCTTCTTCAATATGTGGCAGTGTCTGGCCAAGATGAATCTCTGATTCTGGAACACAGATCCCAGGCAAAGCCCCAAAAGCCATTTGGCAAAGAAGAATTCACACTACAATTGGGAAATTAAAAGAAAAATACCCAATACTTTTTGTAAAAGATCATTTGGCAAGAACAAAGAGACCTGAAAGCGTCCGCTCACCTAATGCCTCCACACCCTTGCTTTTCTATACTTCCTTCCATTTGGGCAAATGTGCTGCAGGGAAGACAGGGCACAACTAAAACAACCAGCAAAGATTGAGAGGATAACAGCTCCTGGGAATGTGGGGAGAACAGATCTGGAATATCTCAAAGAATCCCTGCCCAAGTTGCCTAATTTCTCCTAGGCTGTAAAAAGGAAGGAAGGGTCCTCAGTATGGATCAATTATAGCTCAGGATAGATAATAGTTAAAGTCATAAGAACATCCTTCTGCAGTTCTTTACCATCAGATTGTCCAGTGATGGTGGTCTAAGGACCAGAGCTAAGGCAGATTGCAGCAAAGAACGGAGAAATGATACAAAAAATGGTATCCAACAATTTCTAGCTTAGAAATTCAAACTCCTTAGTTTAAGGAGTTGACCCTCAAGCCTTTATCAAATTTACACATAAAAAGCCATATATTAAGGGCTGGGGTTGTGGCTCAGTGGTAGAGCGCTCACCTAGCACATGTGAGGCACTAGGTTCAATCCCCAGCACCACATAAAAATAAATAAATAAATAAAATAAAGGTATGGTGTCCATCTACAACTAAATTAATAAATAAGCTGAGGCAGGAGGATCATGAATTCAAAGCCAGCCTCAGCAAAAGCGAGGTGCTAAGCAACTCAGTGAGACCCTATCTCTAAATAGAATACAGAAAAAATAGGGCTGGGGATGTGGCTAGGTGGTTGAGTGACCTGAGTTCAACTCCTGGTATCAAAAAAAAAAAAAAAAAAATCCACATATCAGCTGAATCTACAGGCTTCAAAAGCAATAAGGAACTGAACGTAGGGGTGATGTGAGCCATAAAGGCTAATAGGGCCAAAAGGGATACATCCCAAATGAAGGAGCAAGGGCTAGTCTCTAGATCAGTGGCTTCTTTGTTAATCTTTGGGAGTCACAAAGCATTTGAGAACTCAATGTGAGTATGAATCTTCTTTTCTCCCCCTATCCCTCCCACACACACATCACACATCACACATCACACATAGCATGACATTTTGCAGACAATGGTAAGGAAACACATCCATTGCAGGTGCCATGAACCCCAGGTTAATTGCCCATTAACTCTGGGTAAGGAACCCATTGTAGAATAGCAGGAAAATTCTAATGGCAGAAACAGAAACAAAATGGCTCCATCTAATTAAACTAGAAAGCACACTTCTGGTCTAAAGATGTCATCATTTCTGGGAAAGAAATCCATAGATGACGACTCAGAACTAAAAATCTATCAGTGTAGTTCCTGGGGCTTCAGTGGCCTCTTCAGACCCATGCTTGACCACATACCGGTCCATGCAGCCCTGTCCTTTTCTGCTTTCATTGTGTTTCTTTCAAACTGTGCTGAATAGTCAGTCTTCCTGGAGGGGTGAGGAAGTGCAAGTAAATCTCGTCTGTCACATCCCATATGTAGACACTGTGCCTCACACCTCACTGATCCCTCTCCTAAAAACAGGAAAGTCAATTGGTCTCATCAGTTCTGCCACATCTTCTCATTAGAGATATTCTGAGGTTATCCGTACACCTCAGTAAACATGCTAGGTGTAATTTTATAAGAAAATTCAAAACAAATCTTTTTTTTTTTTCTTGGAACTGTGAATACAACTTAGTCCAAAGTCAAGGCCAACTCTAAGGAGCATAAATCCTCCAAGTGGAAAGACAACCTTCCTATCTTCCAATTAGGATGCATGTCCTTGCCCACATTATCACCAGGAAAAAAACAAAAAAACAAAACACAAGAACAACATTCTCTAGACCTTGGGTGGCGAAGACATCTCAGTTTTCCAAAGATTATCTTTGATAAGCAAAAACTAAATATATTGCCTTGGACTCTGTAAGCCACTTTATGAAAATGAATTATGTACTTACAGGCAAGAGAAAATGCTTAACTGCTTTTATGAAAAGATGCCATATGAAAATTGTTTTGCGTTTCCCAGAATTCATAGCATAGATGCAAGATATCCCTATCATAGAGATTTCAAAAGATTTCTTATTAGTAAGACCCCACCACCACCACTCCTGGGGTTTGTTAAAACAAACAAAACCAAAGTGAGAAAAACACCAACCGATATGAGAGCCTAACAGTTGCCCAATTTTGCTAACGTGTCAGTGAGGTTTTATTTCAACATTTTTGATTCTTAGAACAGCCCCTGTGGACCCACGAGGCAATGAAGTCATCCAAAACACTACCACAGAGACTCCTAGTATCTAAAACCAGACCAAATAATGCTCTGAAATGGATGATTCAATGATCAGTTTACACTAAGATAGATAAGAAAAGAACTCCAACAGCGTGTCTATAACCAAGACCCATAAAATCACAGGCTGGTCTGTATATAGCCATCATCTGTCCCCTGCTCAGAGGTAAGGAGACATCCCTTGGCAACAGTGCTGGCAGTAACTGAAAACCTCCTGAATCCTGGCCTCCCAGCACCCATATATTACACAGACAGACAGTGAGGCGTGCATCTATTTCAAGAAACTAGGGTCCCAGAGTTAAACTCAAACTTCACCTATATTTGGACAATGTGACTTTTAGGAACTTAATGGTGACTCCAGATGGATCTGAAATGTTGCAACTGATTGCTGGGGGAGGGGAGGAACAGTATTTAGCTCATTCTTGCTACCGTGTTTTAAAGGATATCCATTCTGAGGAACCATACCACTGACATTTCATTTGCTTGCCTTTCACCATTTGGGAATTGGTATAAAAAGATTCCTTTAAAATATTCTTGGAAGGATGGATTTGGAACATTTTAAAGTTTCCTTTTTTTTTTTTTTTAGTTTTGTATTTCCCTGAATTTCTAAAGGAACATTAATTAGTTGGTGCTGAATTCAAGGAATTGGGACCTCCTAATGTCTCTACCCCCACCACGGGGAGTCACCTGATTATCCTCCCTGGTCTCCGGAAGCTCTGGGGTCAAAGATGTCACACAGTTATGGCAAAAAAAGGCACCAAGCTGTTTCCTAGTGGGTTTGAATTGAAAGAGGAAAAGAGTCAATCAATTCCCACTAATCCCCCTCCCCCAAGGAGGACATGATTTTGGACTCCCTGGAAACCTCTGAAAATAATCTAATAAAACCACAAAGTTCAGGGGGATTCTAAAAGTCTGAAATTTGATGCAGAAATAAGTGTGCCTTCTTTCTTCCATATTTTGAATGCCCCAGAAAAATTCTGGGAACTAAATTTGGGTTGGGGATTGAGGGGCAAGAACTCATATAAACAGAAGAATATTTATAAAACTTACAGGTCATGACCCTCTAACGGGGTCCTGAGAGTATTGCAAGGGGATTCCAGGGACCCTGGACCTCCCTTCTCAGAGGAGCCATTGGCTTGGCCACTGCAGGAAGAGAGGCAGGGAAGTGGAGACCCTGGGTATAGGTATGTTTGGGTGTGGGAACACAGCTGGGGCCCTCGGCAGGCCTCAGCTGATAACGAAATCTGAGGACACTGACAGTATTT